TAAGGCCTGTGGTTGGAGAGACCTACTTCTCCAACCTGGGACTCCTGGCTTCACCTAATACCAGCCCCCAACCCAGCTCAAGTCCAAATGTTTACAGGGAGCCTCCTACCTTCCCCACTGCAGTCCTCCTACTCTAACCCCACTGCTTGGAGGCCCCAAAGGAAAAAGCACAAAAATCGTGAGATACCACCATTCCTGGAGACCACAGTCCTCCTTCTCCTTCTCGAAGCTTTAAAAAAAAAAAAAAAAGGAAAAGGGAAAAAAAAGTAGAAAACTTTTTAGAGAAAAACTATATAAAACTGTCAGGTCTTGACCAGCGCTTACCCACTCCCATGCCCTCCAGTGATTCCGTGCCTTGAGTGTGTCTGTGTGTTTACACCCACTCCTCCGCTGGCTTTCCCCTTATGGGAATAGCACTGTTGCCCTGCCCTCCACAGAATAGGGTTTCAAGGGCTGTTCCAGACAATTGCCAACATCACTGGGGCTCCACCCAGTGGCCCTGGGCCCTGGCTCCATTACCCTAAATGTAGCTCCTTAGCGCTCACCTAGGAACCACTGCTGCCTGCTGAGGAGCCAGGCCCCTCGTGCCATCTCCCCAGGCCTGAGTCCTTCAGCATTGAACACTTCCTTGCTTTTTTCACATGTTTTATGGAACTGTTCACCTGGTTTGAAATAATAAAATGTAGAAAGAAAGAAAAAAAAAGAACGAATGAAATTTTTTTTTCTTCTATAGTGTGTGTGTGTGTGTGTGTGTAAAACGTGCCATAAATTTCATTTCTCAGGGAGATGAGTATATGTGGGAAATGATAACAGCACATATATTATCAATATGTCTGTTGTTGTTAAGTGCCATTGCATCAGTTCCAACTCAGAACAACCCTGTATAGAGTCTCCAAGGAGTGACTAGTAGTTTGAGCCGCTGATCTTGCAATTAACAGTCTCGTGTTTATCCTAGAGCACCACAGTAAAACTCCACCAACGTGTGTAGTTAGTCAACAACTAATATATGCATATACACAAGGTTACGTACTTTATGTGTAAAGCAGCACAATGAGCATGTAGATATGGCACCCGGACCCCCCTTTTAGGTAGAAGTTGTGGCCCTAGCTGTTAAGAGCAGTGTAGGGAAGGGGCAGCCATCTCTCAGCCTCTTCATAGGTTGCCTCCACTGTAGACAGTTTCCTTTCCCAAGAGCATGCTCTTCCAGAAACCATTCTATGTATAGCCAATGACTTACCGAAATAGAAGTTCAAACCCAGCAGCCATACCTCGGAAACCCTATACAAGGTCACTATGAGCTAGAACTGACTCAACAACATTTAACAACAACAGCATCTCAGCCCATGCAGGACATTTCTGACAGATCATTTCCGTTCCAGAGCTCCTCTTGGGGGTCAGCTGAGGCTACTAAGCCCGTGTCAGAGTTGAGTTATCGAACTGCCCAATCTTGCCTCTCCTCTTGTGTTTCACAAATATTGATCCCAAGGTCAACATTAATAAACATTCTGAACACTAAACTCTACCTCTGAGCCTATTTTAGAGAACCCAAACTACTATGTTGTTGTTGTTATGTGCTGTGGGGTTGGTTCCAACTCATCGAGACCCTGTACAGGGTTTTCTAGGCTGTAAATCTTTATGGGAGCAGAAAGCTTCGTCTTTAGCTTTATATTTCTGTGATGGCCCTCTTCTCTTGGTGTTTTGTTGGTGTAGATATATGGCTCCCCCTTTTGATTAATGACTATCTTTGTATCACCAGCAACTAACAGCATTTAGACCTTGTTGTTATTAACCATTGAGTTAGTTCTGACTCATCGTGACCTTGTTTAGGATTTCTGAGGAGTGGCTGCTGGGCTTGAACTGCCAACCTTGTGGCTAGGAGACTAGTGTTTATCCTACAGTGCTATACTAGGACTCCATTTAGGCTTTAGTTGTTGTGTTGTGAAGTGCCGTTGAGTCGGTCCCGAGCCATAGCGACCCTGTATAGGGTTTCCGAGGAGCAGCTCGTGAGCTTGAACTGTAAAGCCCTATATTAACTAATTTTTAAGAAAGGATCAGACTGAAGTGGAAAATTTTTAGCATCAACAACTCCTGGGATGCATAAACCCCCTTCTCCCCTTAACTCTAGCTAAACTTGGCTTTTGTAACACTGCTTATGCAAATTCCTCACATCTGAATGGGCCCGCCTGACTCACAGGATGCTGCAGCCAGCGGCCAAGGCTAACATTGAGAACAGGCGGCCAAAGTTAATCTTACAAAGTAACTGTCCCAGCTGATGTACTCCTAGCCCCCACCCTCAGCTAATGCATACATCAACCCTTAGTTTGTACAAGATCATGTCAGACTGCCTAAGTATAAATACTCTGAAAAACTGGATCAGGGCTGCAGTTTTTCCTGCTTTTAGAAAGGCTGTAGTCACTGGCCAGCTTATAAAGGCTACCTTGATGATCCTGAGAGTCTTGAGTGGTCATCTGGGTAAATTGAGACTCAACAGAACCACCGACCTTGCAGTTCAAATGGCTTTGTAGTCTGGCACATTAACCCACAGCAGGACACCAGGCTTTAGTAGGATACTAATATTACTATGTTAATTACCTGAACACATATGTAAAATACAAAACTTTTTTCAGATTTGAAAATTTTGTTTTAAATGTTTTTCAGCTTTCAGATGATATGGAGACGAAGAAGAATATAGAGGTATTTAATTTTCTCCATATTTCAGATTGTAGATCAGAATAATTATGGTGGGTTAAAAGGATGTTTGTAGTAACACAGATTCAGATATAGCCATGCATACAGATTTCAGAGGAGAAAGAGTTAGGAACAGTCTTCTGCTTAGCAGCTGAGAGGCTTCGGGTCATCTGTGAGCAATTTAAATGCTTGATATACTTGGGCTTCCTTTATTCCGCCACCAAGATCCAAGAAGTTGGCTGGCTTCCCACCACTCAGGGAAATGATGTCACAGGTAGCCATGACCAGCCCAGCATTATTCACAAAGCAAGGGATGTTCCCATCCAGTCCTATGTATTTTAGATCATATCTAGAAGCTTCACTTTCAATGGGTTCACTCTCTGATTTGTCATCCATAGCAAATATGTCCTTTTGTCGGAATTCTGAGTTGTCGTCAAAGTTTATCTTGGCATCAAAACAGACAACTTGTCCTTCTCGAGTTTCACCAACAGGATTCACTTCCACCTGAGTAGCGTCAATTTTCAGGAGAGATTATACAGCTTCTTAATCTGATCTACAGCCTGATTTTTCAAAGGCCCCAGGAAGCCTAGATTTTCTGCCATCTGCTGAACTTGGCTTTCCTTCATCCCTTCAAAAATGTCAATTTTCTCCTTAAAAATGAGTTCTGGAGAAGAAGCTGCCACCTCTGTAATGTCAATGCCCCCTTGGGGACTGCCCACCAGAAAACAGGGCCATTGCGGGAGCAATTCATCAAAATGGCCATGTAGGTTTCTCTGGAAATGTCCAGGACTTCAGCCTCCATCACCTTGTGAACTTTCACACCGTTTTATGAAGTTTGCTTTGTTGCTAGATTATACACAATCATCTGTTTAGCCAGCTGTCCCACAATGTTAGGGTCTGTTGTTAAATGAACACCCCTTTCAACCCGCTACTGAAGACACCTTTTCCTCTTCCTCCAGCTAAGATCGTTAGAAACATTCTCTTTCTTCCAAGACCATTTCTTTATGGATTAGTTAAACTTTTTGATCATTTGAGTATAGATCAAATTTAGTTCTCGGATAAGAATTTGCTTTGATTTTGGATTTTCCTTATGAATATGCCAAATATCTTAATTTCAGAGAAACAGAAATTGTAAAAGATTTTTCTTAGGTGGGAATAAATGTTTTGCATTAAATTTTCTAAAAAGAAATAAATCAATGATTTACCTTAAGAAATTATCATTAAATATGAGTAGGAATCAACTCAATGGCAGTGAGTGAGTGGGTGGATAGTCACATGAGATTTTTATACTAACAAGAGTGTTTTATAATATTTCCTTCTTTATAGGGCTGCGACTTCTCAGGATTCAAAGCAAGTGAACTTACCCAACTACCTAGACATTTGGATGCAGAACAAATTTATCTTTATATTTTAAAAGCCCATAACTTTGATGTATGTAAACACTTTTTATTTTTATGGTATGACAACTTTGACAATATGATGTAATGAATCAGACCTTTCTTTAAAGTAATGACAGATGAGGTATTCAGCAAGATATAATTGTTTTTTGTGTTAAGTGCCGTTGAGTCAGTTCCAACTCCTGGTGACCCCATCTAGGGTTTCTGAGGAGTGGCTGGTAGGTTTGAACCACAAACCTTGTGGTTAGCAGTTCAGTGCTTATCCTATAGTGCCACACCAGGACTCCAAGATCTAATTGGGGTGAGGAGACATTAAATGTGGCAGGAAAGAGTGGTGATGTCTAGCACAGCAATTGCCAGCAGAACAAAGACTGTTTTAGACTGTGTTCTGTGGCTAGTGCGCATTGGTTTAGCATTTGACTAAAGCAGGTGTTTTTTTTCCTTTCTGTTCCTGCTCTATGGCTTAGGATATTGTGGCCTGCTCGTTTTGACATTTTTGGTTGCTTTGACTCACTATAAATACATTTTGAAGAATTTAGAATTGTCTTTGAAAAAAAAAAAAAAAACGTTTTTGGTGATACTTAACATACATAAGGCTAAAACTTTAAGCAATCATGCAGTTCATTTATACTAAAAATCTGTACTTTTCTAACCATTTTTCCCCCATAGGACAAAATTTTCAACATCTGGAGGACTCACTTTCTCTCAGAAGCTTCTATTGCTCTTTTGCATGATTCCTTTTGGTGGTGGTTTCTCTATAAATTTAAGGTATGATGATTTTTTTTAACTTTTTTTCTTTAAAGCTAATTTGCTTTAAACAGAGGTAACAGTGTTACAAAAAAAATTGTGAATCCTTTGAGTATTCTACAAATGTTAGGAATCCTGCTTGAAGTCTGGAGTTCTCCAAGAGCAGTTAAAACTTTAATATGGAATTAAATGATCCTGGATCTTTTGATAATAAGAAAAAGATTAATGAAATCAACTAACAAACATTGAAATTTCCATGTGCTGTGTGCATATGTATGTGTGTGTGTATTGTGTCTTTGAGCCAGTTCCAACTCATAGTGAATCTGTGTAGTGTTTCCAAGAACAACTGGTGGGTTTGAAAAGCTGACTTGTAGTTACCAATCCAGTGCTTACCCTACATACAGTACCACACCAGGTCTCAATTGCCAACTACAAATTAATCAGTGAATTACACACTGTAGTGAAGAATGAAGTTGTAATTTTGTTCAATATTGCAACTATATACAATCAGTAGCATTGAAGAAGGTTCCATTTGGAAAAGTATGTAGAGATTGGGTGGAGAAATCTTCACTTGATTCAGGTAAAGGAGAAATGTGATTATGATGAAAAATAGGTGGGAAACAATACTAGTAAGCAAAGAAAAAAGTGGTAATGGTAAGTAAAAGGAAATAATTAGCATGTGAGTGTTAAGTTTCATAATACATGCACCTAGAAAAAAATGGATCCTGAACTATGGAAAATACAGCAACTCAAGAGATCATATAAATGCTATGACATTTTAGGAAGCCCAACAGCATAGTGGTTACGAATTGGGCTGCGAACCTTAACGCCAGCGGTTTGAAACTACCAGCCGCTCCGCGGGAGAAAGATGAGGGTTTCTACTCCCGTAAAGATTTACACCCTCGGAAACCCTGTACAGGGTCGCTATGGGTCGGAACCGACTCGACGGCACTTAACAACAACAATAGTGAACTCAGCTCCCCACCTCACCCCTTCCGAAATTACCCATTAAATAAACTGCTAGATTCTCATAGAAATTTAATAGCAAAAATGAATGGATGTTACTGATTTTATATACACCACTGAGTTAGTAAGGAGCTGTGGTAGCGTAGTGGTTACAAATCTAGCTGCGAACTGCAAGGTCAGCAGTTCGAAACTACCAGCAGTTCCAAGGAAGAAAGATGAGGCTTTCTGCTCCCGTAAAGATTTACAGCCTCGGAAACCCGTACAGGGTCGCTATGAGTGGGAACAGACTCCACGGCACAGAACAACAAATATGTGTTTATAAAAAATAATTTGGAGTGTAAGTTTTCATATATTTATTTACATATCCATCCTCATTTGGTTTGCTAGTTTCGTGGAAAACAGCTACTACATTTTATCATTTTTGATGTTTGCTACCAGCTTGTTCCCACACTAAAACATAAATGCATTTAAACACTTTCAGAGTGCTAGATTAGGATTTTACCTGAATACTGAATACTGGCATATTTGTTGAATATGCCTAGCATAGCTGTTATGTGTTTGTGTTTCCTTGTTTATTTCATTCTCCTACACTCCCTTAAAGACATATCTAAATACAAATACAGATGAAATGTGCGTTTTGACAGATGAGGAAACAGGATTTCATTAACTTGTTCAGAGTACTGCCGCTTGTGAACAGCTGCTCTAGCGTTCAAATTCTGGTGTGCATGATGCTGACGCCCCTGTGCGTTCTGCCTTGCCAATCAGCCTCCTTTTAAAGCACAGATTAAATGACTGACGGTGTGCAAATCTAATTTTAAATTGTGATATTAATGAATCTTCATTTCATGCATGTTTTATTTTTTAAGCCTGACAGAGAAAATCAAGATTCCTTGTTTGATAGGATTTCGGAAAGTTTTGTGGCACTTTTCATGAGCGTTCCACTAAATCGGAAGGATGCATTCTTACAGGCAAGCAGATAGAAGTTCATCGATTATGCTAATTAGTATAGAGTGAATGAAATAGTCCCTTAATTTAAAACACATGAAAATAAGTTTGGGGTTTTGTTTTGTTTTTAAGCAAATTTCTGAAATCAAGTAAGTAATGGTAATATTTTTAAACTGACACTTTTCCCCTACCCCAGAATATTCTCTTATCTAAAGCTTTTACAGAGTCACCTTAGTGATACAGGGTTTTTTTTGCATATGATTCATTTGAACATTATTGATTTAGTATATGTCTATTCTTGTCTATTTCATTTATGTGTAAAATCATTTGTCATGTTTTATTTTCCTTTGTCTTTTGATTTACAAGAACTTAAGTTTATGCATTACCTAAGAATGTTAGGAATTAAATCAAATGTAAATTTTATTTTTCTCTAGTTTTGATAGCTGATTATTAGGATTGGTTCAAATAATTTATGTTCTTGAGTGATATGGAATGAAGATGTTTAGGAATTTCATTGCATTTTTTTGTTTGTTTGTTTAAACCTCTAGCATTTCAAAGTAGAAGCCATGTTCAAATACTTTGTTGTATTGGCATTTATGAATCAGAAATACATAAACGACATTCGTCATTTTGAAAATGACAAATGTTTAAACGGATAAAATAACCTTAGGCTAAAGACAGTTCAATAACATAAATTTGCCAATTATTTATACTCAATCTTGATCCATTTTGCTCACAAGTATGTAAAAGTGGGAATTCAGTAGTGGAGTAGGCATAAGGAGAGTCTACAACATGTCTCCAATCTACTACTATTTAGTAGTAGATGATGTTGGAAAATCACTTCATCTCTCAGGTTCACAGCTGGGTTGTCTGTCAATTAAAGAGTTTAGATTAGATTTGTAATCCTTTAATTGCTGGTCATGGTTGTGTTTTAAGAGCTAGAATAGGTTTTTCTGCTAATATCAAAATTGCTTTTTCTTATTTGCAGGAAAAAGTTAAGGAATAGGAATTTTACACTTTATCTTAATCAAAAAGTGATGGGGTTAGGAGTTTTGCGATCAAATTGGCTAGCGATGATAAAACCAGCTGTTTCTCTTATCCTGTTTATTTAGCTAGTTTAGCCTTTGATGGTGTTTATATTAATATATATTTGTTGAATATGCCTAGCATAGCTACATGATTTGATGATATCAAGAATGCTTTAACATAGGACTCTAAAGGATAAACCAAACCCCACAACCCACTGCAGTAGAGTCGAGTCTGACTCATAGTGACCCCTGTATAGGTTTTCCAAGGCTGCAAATCTTTACATGAGCAGAAAGCCTCATCTTTCTCCCATAGAATGGCTGGTGGCCTTGAACTGCTGAACTTGTTTGTATTCCATTGCTTTTCTATAGTGCCTCGGGGACTCCTCTTACAGATAAGAAACCTACTTAACGTGGACAAAGGAGTCCTTGTACCATTGTGTATGATCCATTCTCCAACTTCTTGTCCCTGGGCGTAAAACTTTAATGATTTAAATGATGACTTTACTTTTTTAGATCCCTATTTTTAGTGCTTTTTCCAAGAAGAAGTTGGAAGTTGTTGAATTAACATTCAAATTTTCATTTGAGAGTAAGCAGGATGTACAGCTTCGTGTTTTGACCACTTGACCTGTGCTCAGTCCTCTGTTAATTCTCTCTTTCTCTGTTTCTATGTGTCAGAACCAGGCCACCTCCCAACAGGGCTATCCCTGCCAGAGCTATTTATGAGGAGGCTTCAAAAAATCTATGGGAAAAATCCAGTATCTTTTATTCAATTTGAAGTCCCCTGGTAGAAGATGTGAAGCTTTATCTATCATTGACCAAATGTCATTATTTGTAACTCATCTTATAAGTAAGGGCTTAGTTATTATAGACACACCTGATTTATCTTACCCAAAGAAGACAAAGGAATTAATATTTAAGAATAAAAAATAATCTTCAGTCCCACTAATCAGTACAAATTAGGTGGTGCTGCAGGATAATCAACCGGTATGCAGCGCAAATGATCCAAGAAGCTGGGTTCTATGAAGAAAAACATGGCATCAGGATTGGAGGAAAACTCATTAACAACCTGTTATATGTAGGTGATACAACCTTGCTTGCTGAGAGTGAAGAGGGCTTAAAAATACTTACTAATGAAGATCAAAGAGCACAGCCTTCAGTATGGATTACATCTCAATGTCAAGAAAACAAAAATCCTCACCACTGGACCAATAAACAACATTCTTATCAATGGGAGAAAAGATTGAAGTTGTCAAGGACTTCATTCTTCTTGGATCAACTATCAACACTCGCGGAAGCAGCAGTCAAGAAATCAAACGACGTGTTGCATTAGGCAAATCTGCTGCACAGGACCTTTTTAAAGTGTTGAAGAGCAAAGATGTCAGCTTGAGGACTAAGGTGCGCCTGACCAAGCTATGGTATTTTCAATAACATCATATGCATGCGAAAGCTGGACGGTGAATAAGGAAGACTATAGAAGAATTGATGCTTTTGAGTTACGGTGTTGAAGGAGAATATTTAAAGTGCACTGGGCTGCCAAAAGAACAAACAGATCTGTGTTGGAAGAAGTACAGCCAGAGTGCTCCTTGGAGACCAGGATGGCCAGACATAATCTCTTATACTTCAGACATTTTGTCAAGAGGGACCAGTCACTAGAGAAGGATATCATGTTTGGCAAGGTGGAGAGTCGGAAAAAAAGAGAAAGACCCCTAGCAAGATGAACTGGCAAAGTGGCAGCATCAATGGGCTCAAGCATGGCAACAATTGTGAGGTTGGCCCAGGACTGGGCATTGTATCGTTGTGTTGCGCATAGGGTCACTGTGAGTTAGTACTGACTTGATGGCACCTAACAACAACAATAGGATAATGACTGGACTGCTCACCACAAGGTAGGCAGTTCAAATCCACTAATGGTTCTTTAGGAGAAAGACGAGGCTTTCTGTTCCTGTAAAGATTCCCAGCCTCTGAAACCCTGTATATGCATCCTGTATAGTGTCACTATGATTTGAAATTTACTGATGGCAGTGGGTTTGGTTTTGGTAGCCATATTTAATGTTACTTTTACTTCTCTTTCTTCCAATATTATAAAATATATTCCTTCAAAAATTTCCCAAGTAAGTCTGACAAAATACCCTTGTACTCTAATCTTCTGAAGGTAGATAGCAACAGAAAACCTTTCGAAGTTCCTCTTAGTCAGTTTATTCAATTAATTTTAAGCTTCACTGTGATTTTATATGGGAGCACAGTGACTCTATAGGATAAGCACTGGACTGTAAACCACAAATTCTGTGGTTTGAGCCTGTCAGTGGCTCCAAAGATGAGACTTTCTACTCCTGCAAAGATTTAAAGCCTAAGAAACCTTATATAGGGTCGCTGTGAGTTGAAACAGACACGACAGCACTTAACAACAGCAACATGATTTTATACATCACAAATATAATATGTGATCATTTCTGGTAGTAAAAATGTTCATAGCTCACTCAATAAAATTAAATATAATATAGCAATTTATTACATAGTTCTCCTCTCCTCCCCTCACCACCCAATAAAAGCCTGGGAGCAGAAAGTCTCATCTTTCTCCTATGGAACAGCTGGTAGTTTCAAACTGCTGACCTTGAGGTTTGCAGCCAGATTCTTAACCACTACGCTACAAGAGCTCCTCAAATATATATGTGTGTGTGTGTATATATAAAATGGTGGTGGCGTGGTGCCATGGATTCACTTCCAACTCATAGAAACTCTATGTAAGGTTTCAGAGGCTGTAAATGTTTACAGGAGCAGAAAGACTCATTATTCTCCTGTGGAACGGTTAGTAGTTTCGAACTGCTGACCTTGCAGTTCGCAGCCCAATTCTTAACCACTACGATATCAGAGTCACTACATGGATGTCATTCAACATTGCTGTGGCCTTTTCCATCCTGTTTCTAACTTTAATGAAATGGATGTGTTGTTGTTGTTGTTGTTGTTGTTGTTAAGTGCCATTGAGTCAGCTCCAATGCATAGCAACCCTATGTAGGGTTTTCAAGGAGCAGTTGGTGAATTTGAACCACCGACCTTGCAGTTCAACCAGCCTTTCTGTCCAGTGCTTATCCTACAGTGCCACACCAGGACTCTGAAATGGATGCTAGTACTTCCTATTAAGGAGCCCTGGTAGCATATTAGATTACAAACTGGGCTGGTAACTGGAAGGTCAGCAGTTCAAATCTACTGGTTCCTCCTTGGGATAGAGAAGGGTCGTTCTGCTCTCATAAAACTTTGCAGCCTATCCATGGCTGTTATGAGTCAGAACTGAATTGATGGCACACAACCACCACCACTACTGCTTCCTACTAAATATAATCACAAATGATTAGATAGATGTCTTTTACAAGGCTGAAGAAATTTGTTTCTAATTTATCAAAGATATATAGATGTGGATAAGGATGTGGATATAGATGAAAAAGAGGGGACGTTAGAGAGAGCTATATCATGATACTTAAAAACTTGAAGAAAATATCTTTGCCTTAGTAGAAGCTTATATTATTAAGATATGCTTTTTTGATCACTATGCGCCATTTAATACATTACTGGATTTTATTTTCTATTGTTTCATTTGGATTTTTACATAAGTATTACTCGTTTTCTTGAACGTGTCCAGTGTTTCTTTGCTTCCTCCAGATTAAAGCCAGAACTTTGAGATTAATATTATATGTCTCTAAATCTAACTCCATTTTTATTAACCAATTGTGTCTGCAGCTCTCATGCACCTGGCCTTCTTTCTAATCATGATTCATCTCATTTCCCCTAAGTAGTCTTTCTTTCTTATTCCTTTGTACTTTTTAAAATGCCAATCATCTGATCTTCTTTTTGTCAGGAAACAATTATCATTATTTCAAATTTGTTCAAATTTTTGTGGAAAGACAGTAATAAAAACTAATGGAGCTGTTGGGTGCTGGGGAGTCAGGAAAGAGTACCATCGTCGAGCAGATGAAGATCATCCACGAGGATGGCTACTCAGAGGAGGAATGCCAGCAGTATTGGGCAGTTGTCTACAGTAACACCATCCAGTCCATCATGGCCATCGTCAAGGCCATGGGCAACCTGCA